TAAATCTCAATCTTTTACGAACATATTTTATTAAAATTGATTATACCATAGAAACAACATATGTATAAATAACACTTATCCTTTTTCCAGAATTTCACAAAAACAACATTTTTTGTGTATACTTGGTATCTCCTATAAGTGGTCTTGATTAGAATTTTGTCTTATGTATATTTTTACATTATGTTGAAAAGCTTCAATAAAAATGTTTTGTAACACCACCTACTTAGTTGAAAAGATATTTAAGTTTTGTTTGACAAACAGACAGATACTGGTGTTTATATGTAATATGATATGATCCCTGATTTAATCTATAATGGTATTTTTCCAAATATTCAAAGAGCTTGCTGTAAATATAATAGATATCAAAAAGTAAATAAATGTGAGGCTTCCACATAATAGTCAAGTGCTATGATCACTGTGAAACCCAGTTTTATAATCAAATGTTAACAAAATAACTCAAAACCCTCTCCTAAACTTCTATTTTCTTGTTTTTCCTAATATTGTAGTATCTTGCTCCCTCCAATGAAATTGTTGAGACTGAAAAACCTATAACGGGGCACCAGTCCCCAATACACTTGGGAACTACAAACACCCAGGAATAGAACCCAGAGAAAGGTGACTGATGAGTTTGATAGCTTCCTGGAGAAGAAGAACTTGAACTGTTTTGGAAAGATGCTGGTAGGAAACTGAATCCCATGGATGAGGGGATAAGTGAAGTGGAGTTTGAAAATGATAGTTCTTCAGATGACATAGGAAGCACCCAAGGATCCCAAGTGAAATTGCTCCTTCGGGGTACAAACCTGGCCAAAATCTATGGTATAGTCACCAGTATTGTTGGCAGCAGGAGACCTGGCACTGAGCAATTTCATGGCTGAGATCTTGGAAAGCGAAACAGGCACAGGGGTGGAAGGAGGAGGTTGGGATACAGGAGGTTGCAAAAGACGAGAGATCACTGATGAAAAAGAAGGAATGTTGATGAGCAGCCTCCAAAATGGACTACAGTGAGTCAGAAAGATCTCCAAAGCTTAACCAGCATAAAAATGGAGTCATACAAAGGTCCTACAAATAATACATGGGTAGGTGCATGTGAGCTAAATGTGCATCCCTACTCAGGAGATCCCAACAACAGAGAAGCCAATTTTGTATGGAAAAAGTCCACAAAGACAAGAGCATCAATGTCTTCAGGGAAATGGTGAATAGCCTTGAATTGGATGTGGAAGGAGTAGAAATAATGCAGAAGGATGGTGAGGGTTAAACAGAGACAGGAAAATATCAGTGGTATCAGGGGAGATTCCCACACCTGAATTAAATACTTTAAGGTCTGTGAATCCAGGAAAGGAAAATTCTAATGATGAAACACTAATGCGTAGGAATCTGAGGTACAGGGGTGGGCATGCTGACCCCAGAACTTCACTGAGCTGTAAGCTAGTCAGCATGTAATCTGGTATCTGGAGAGGGTAGGAAAACTAGGTGATCTAAGGAAGGGGCAGAATTAAGGAGGGAAGAAGAGGAATCTTAAGACACAGGAGATATAGACAAAAAGGTAACATACCTATGACACTATATCCAGGAAGTGTAGATGATCTGGGAGTGGCCACAGGTGGTATTCAGGAAGGCATGGTAAAGCAAGGGGGTGAAAACAAGCTATTCAAATCCTCTTTTTCTGTCCATGTTCACCAGGAAAAGGAATATCTGGTCTAGTTTAAGGATATTCAGTAGATCACATAATAGACCTGAACTTGCGACATATGAAAACCAAAACCTCAACAGAAAATGTGGAGCTTGATTAGTGTAATGTGCATGCCTCAACTCAATTGAACAGTTGCTGGCAGCAGGAGGAGGGCACAGAGCTTGAGAAACTGCAGGTTGAGGTACAGTAGCTGGAGTAACAAGTAGCAATTCAAACTGAGAATGGAAACTTAGAAATCAACCTACAGTATTTAGTTTCACATCCAAAAATTAATAAAACTGTAAACAATAAAGTTAGTTGTTTAACAAATCCAGAAATAAAAAAATTGAAGCAAATGCAAGTGAAAGTTAGATATGTCTTCACTCCACTGTGACAAAATGAGAAATGAAGATTGGGCTATAATCCTATTGATGGAGGGTTGTTGCATGCTGTATCACATGTAAACATGTGAAAGTAGGTGGGAGTATCACAACTACTGGAGAGTGAAAAGTTATAATTTTCTTACACTGAAAATATATTTCCAAAAGTACTTACTTATGCTCTCATAAATAGGTATTCTCATTCACTGCTACCCACTATTTGCAAAATTTTTTCACATGCTACAACCGTTCACTCCTACATAATCCTCAGTTTACATGGTTTAACTGGTTCACATATAAAAATTATTATGCAACAAACCTCCACCAATGGACATGCCCCCCCACACATGTGACTCCCTCTATGTTATTCTACCTAACTATCACTTCACGTTTAGGCAAAAACTAAGCACCGGTAGACAGTGGGGAGGAAGGGTGGGAAGTGTGAGTTGAAGTAAGTAGCTGTCAGAAATATATATTTTCAGTGTAAGAAAATTACAACTTTCAACAAGGTACGTTACTTCTACTCACATACATAGCTAGAATCCCCCATTGAATAGGTGGATTGATAAGAGCAAGGAAGAAAAGAGAAACATCCTTCGAAAGCATCAGAAGAACACCCCAAGAGGGAACCCTCAAAGAAGAGGGTGAAGTGTGGAAGACCATACTACTTCTGTACCAGGTATTTACTTTGCCCAGACATGGAAAAGGTGAGACTGAGTCAGATGGACAAAATTGAGGAGCACATCCCATTGTGGGTAAAAGAAGGGATGTGCCCCAAGGTTTATTGTGACTAGGGTATAATGGACCATACATGGCAAGTCAACTACGCCCAAAACTCAACCACCGGGAACCAACATCTAAGTGAGAGTAGGAAAGAGGATCATACCATATTCACCTCAAGTTTAGCGAACTGGAGGGAAAATTCTCACCACTGATCGATGAACAGGGCACATGTGAGCAGAATGAAATCTCGATATATCCCCCTCAAATAAACAGACTGGAAACACTGAGATGTAGTGCAAGAGGAAGAAATGGAGCAATGACCAAGTGCACCCATTGTAACCCATGCAGGGATGCATACTTGAGATGAACTGAGTGAGGGAGCAGGGACACCCTGAACACATGTGTGAAGACTTGTGTTGATTGATTCAGCTCTAAATCCCAAACTCATCCATTGGGCACCAACATCCATGTGGGAGTTGGATGAGGGATCTCAATCGAAGGGGTGAACTGCTTTTATTCCGGCACACTACATGTGTGAGTACATCATGTCAATTAGCCCAGCTCTAAGTCCAAAATTCAACTGCTGGGAACTGACATCTATGCAGGGGTAGGATGAGGGATTCTAATCATGACAACATAAGTGCAGATAATAAGGTGATTGGTTTAGCTCTAAATCCAAAACTCACCCACCAGGAACCAACTTCAATGCGGGGAGGTAGGATGAGAGATCTCAATCATTTCTACGCTAACAGAACACCACTGCTCTACTCTCAACTGAATGGAGGCATTATTGTTTATATTGGATATCTCTCATTCAGGTGGATATCTCCATGGTCCACCACCCCAGCATCTTAGAACTGGAAAGTGGTAAGGACTCTCATACTCCACTGGGAGAAATGGGGAGGGGGACAAAGTGGTGAGTCTGGAGGAACATTCACACTGGAGACAGTGCAATGGATGACCAAGAAACCCTATATTGAAAATCAGACCAAACCCAATTTATTAAATATAAAGAATAGCAGGGATGGGTAGCTATCCCTTTCTGCTTTACCCATGAAGCTCATGGGTGAGTACAGTCCAGAGCTGGCATATTTAAGAAGCAAATATATCGTGAGGAATAACCTACAAGTAATTTTGTGGAACATTCCATCTCTAGTATATGAAAATGTACAGAACAGTGCGAGTTTAATGGCCATGGAAATAAGAAAATAAAATCAAGATGGCCTTGCAGTATGGATTTGAGTACAAATCTAAGTGAATGAAGTATACCTGGCCAGGCACCACTTACCACAGAGTGGGATCTAGATCAAAAAATGGGACAGGCCACTGAAAAAGATAAAGAATGAAAAAAGGAAACTTATCCCGTTACAGTCGCATCAAAGTCTAAAGAATGGCAACAGGTGGAAGATGATAACCCAACAAGGAAGAAACAGCTACAAAATGAAGATAGTGAGAGATGAAAGTATGTGGAGCTGTGTAAATGCCCGCTTGAAGAAATTCCTCCAATGGATGATGCAGATGAGATGCCAGGGAAAAAGTGAGGTGCCTAATCTGATGGGAAGACACTGGGAATAATTCACAGGAAAAAGGAGACAAGGAAAAATAAGCCAAACCCAATTCATAAGGTTGGAAGGAGAGAAATCACAAACAGAGGATAGTTGCCAAGAGATGAATAGATGGGAATGGTTATGACAGAAGGAACCCATACGGGTGATATACCAATGAAGAGCATGAACAAGACATAGCAGTCTATCCAAATCAGACCGGGAATAGAGGTGGGAAATGAAAGGAAGGAATATCAACAAGAAGGCAGAATTACCCTCCAGAGCTGCAGGAAGTCTTGGGAAGAAAATATCAATTCAGTTAAAAGAGAAGATAAGAGGAATGATACACAGTATGTGAAATGTTGATGGTAAACAAATCTGACCAACGATGTCCATAGCCAAAAGGAGGAGGAAATACACTTTAAGAGATAAATGAGACATGAAACAAAAAGACAAAGGTTCAAATGGAGGTAAAATAAGGTAACGAATCACCACATTGACATCCCAATCCAGAAGGACTACATGCCGTGAAGGGTGACTAATTCCGAAGGAACGTAACAGGAATGACAAGGTATGGGAGACATGAAACAAAAAGACAAAAAGGTGAAAACAGAGACAAAATAAGGTAGCGAAGCAAAACATTGACATCCCAATCCAGATGAGCTGCATGACCATGAAAGGTGACTAATCAGGAAGGAACATAACAGGAGTGACAAGGTATGGGAGGCAAAAACTTTACAGTAACGTGAAAAATGAAAAGTGTGGGATAAGGCTGCACAATAACTCGTGATCAAGGACACCAAAGACCCCTGATCAAATAACCAAGTGAAGAAATTCGTAATAATAAGAACAGTGGGATGAGCGGGGAGAACCCCTGGGCCCAAAGACCAATGGTGGAAGATGCTCCAGTTATGTTGATAAACTTCCATGAAAGAAAGTTGAACTGAACATGCCAGCAATGCAGTGACTCACCATAATAAATCAGATTTCCTTGCCAAGAACTGGATAAAAACCAGGCATGAAGATGAAGGACAGAAATGGTGGGATGAACTACCTAGGACAGAGACTGCCATAGAAGGGATGGAGGGCTAGGAAGAAGCAACAGTGCAGCAGATTGGATCTGGAGCAGCCACAAAAACCACAGTTGGGCTAGTCAATAGAAGGCAATCAGAAGGACCTGACACGGAGTGGAATGGATGTTAGAAATCACCCTGAGAAGGAGCTGGATAGGAGATACACAAAGGAATTTGTCTGTCCAAACCTGACTGAGTGCATTGACTGCCAGAGCCAGTGGATGGGGCACCGGAGACCGAAACGGAGGTAACTTGGTATTAAGGATAGTGGAAAATGCATCGAGGTGCGGGGTACTCATCTGAGTACACAAAACTGGAAAACCTGAGGATATAAAGACCACTCCGTTGGATAAATTTTTTCCAGGCGAGAGAGACAATCCATGACCGGGTTGAAAGCACCCAGAACATGAAGTGCAAGTAGATGAATACCATGCATGTATGCCCAAAAAAAGGAGATCCAACATTCGAGAATAATGGTAACAAGAACAGGTGCCACCCTGATGATTGATATACACCACTACATACATTGTCTGTATGGATCATAACCAGATGATTGTGGGCAAGAGGGAGAAAATGATCGAAAGCCCGATAGACAACAAGCAGCTCCAGGATATTAGTATGGTAAAACCATTCTGTCACATACCATTGACCCTATACCTCAAGCCTTAGGTCGATAAATTACTTAAAATTTGCTTTCAGCAATTATTTTTTTGGGAAATAATCATTCCTTCTCTTAGTCTCTTGTAAAGTTTGGCCTCCACTACTGCCTATGGCAAGTCATTCCATAAGTGAATCACTCTATTAGAAAAACATAACTGTCTTAACCAGACCCTAGCCTGCCTTTTCCAAATCTTAACCTTGTATCCCCTCTCCTGTTGTTTTAAGAATACAGTACAGTCTTATATGACGTTAACTTTTTCCTATAAAATAGCCCTTCCATCCCCAAAATCATCCTAGTAAAACTTTTCTGAATCTTTACTATTAAGTCAATATCCTTTCTTAGATAAGGGGACAAAACCTCCTTCAGAGGTTTAAGAATAGAAATAGTTATGTTGCCCTTTAAGAAGTGCTCTCTCATACTAGATTTGGGAATGAATTACTTAGCAAGATCCAAGGCTTAAATGAAAGATCATGGATATGCTTAGAGCAACAGGTGGGTTGGTTAGACCTGTGTTCAGGGTAAGGGTGAACTATATTCTAGAAATGTATTGAACTTAGTTAGTAGGATTTATGGTTGAAACTCTGACAAAATATTAGAAACCAATAAGCCTACAATTTTTGATAAAGATTATGTTAACTGCAGATGGTGTTTTTCTCACATTCCTCTTAATTTGTCCATTGCAGATTCAAAATTATTTTGAAGCTGTCTATCAGATTTGATAAACATAGTAGAACCAAGAATAAACAAACTTGTTAATATCTTAATGTCAGAGGTATGGGAACCAAAACAGGTAAGTTTGGGGTTATAGATGAAATGGAGGATAATGATATACAGGGAATTATTAAAACTTGGTTAGATTTTGAGAATATTCATAAGAGAAATTATTTTGAAATTCCAAGTTACATGTGTAATATTTTCAGGTAAAATGGATTTTCCATGAGAGTGATAGGATTGATCCACAAAACAACAGGTTATTCATTGCAAAGTAATTCCAAATCTTCTGACTCTGACTGAATTTCAGAAAAAGAGGGACACACTGTAAAAAAAAGTCTTTATTTAAACTCAAAAACACAATTAGAAAATGTGTAATGGAAGAAGGACAGTGCATTTACTACAAACCTGTATAACTAAAAACATAAAAAATGAAGGATAAATGCCATAAGTTCAAGAAGTATAAACTGACAGATACCGAGATAGGATGGACAATTTACAGAATTATACTTATGGAAAGGCTATGGATTTGAGTAAAATGTAAATTAGGAAATCAAAAGGGCATTACTAGAAAGAGTGAGCTGATAATGTTAAAATCAACAGCAAATATTTTTTTTTTATGTGTGTTAAAGGTAAGCAAAATGTTAGAATAAGTATTGGGGCCTTTAAAGGAAGTTGATGGCAAGGTTATTATTACAGACTATGAGCTGGCTAAACATTTAAATGTGTTTTTCTGTTTTATCTTGAGAAAATTTGGTTAAAGGTGATCTTATTAAAAATTTACAAGATTATATGGGGGAATTGACAGAATAAAGGCCTCCAATTTCATTGTGCTAAATTCTGAAGTTAATAAGATGAGAGGACACAAGTTTTTGAAAAAGACAGTCTAGGCTCCATTTTAAGACAGTTTTATTTACTAATAGGGTGATTGACTTAGGAATGAATTGTCATTGGCAGTGGTGGAGGCCAGCATGTCTCAAAAGTTTATGAAGGGAATCAATGATTTCTTTATATATTAAGAAAAGAGTGAGTTTAAATTGTTACTTTTCCCAAAGATGGGTGTCCAACAGCCTTGTTGAAAAACCAAATGATCCCTCAATGTCTGTCAATTATATTATGGAAACAGTGGGTATACCTGACGTTTCTTGTTGAAATCATTGCACTGAGTTTTGTTTTCCCTTTCACTGAATAAATCTGAGGAAGAATCAGACTAAATTTGTTTATATAATTTATATTGCAATACTTATGATTTGAAAAAAAATATTATTCGTATAAAGTTTAAAATACTTAAAGCATTAAAACCCGAAAATTGGTTTTAAGGTCAGTTATTCATAACTCAGTTACAACTTACACTTACAAAGGTTTCACTTTCAATTCAAATGCAACTTACAAAAATACATGCAACTTGCAAGTTTCGTGAGTTAATAATGTTAAGTTACATTTACATTCACACAGGCAAGAAAAAGTGTTGAAATTACTGAGTGTCAAAGTAAATGGCATATGTAATATATACAAGATATATAAGCAACTACGATTAGAACTATGAGTAAAACTACACGTAGTTTTCGCGCCAAGACTAACGCTAGTCTCCACGTCAACAAAGTTTCTTTTCTCTGCCAAACAAACGACGATACTTTTGTCTACTGCTAATGACAGTAATGTTAAATTTCTTTATAAATCAAGAACAAAATAATCTCTGAAAACATCAAAGTTGAACTAACCTCAGTGCTATTACTTCTTCTTTTATTACTTTTACTTTCCGGCTTAAAAAAAGATAATATTTTACGTTGAGCCATCATCCTAAATGCATTCATCAACACTCACAGTCAAAAAGTAATAATATTGTTACGACAACGCAGGTCACGTGACTCTTGTATCAAGCCACTTTATTCTCGAACCTTCATGAAATATCGGGAGTTTACTAGATCTCGGTATTATTTTATATATAAGACGGTCACAACGTGACGGAGGCAATGTAATGAGTAATTGAATGTATGCGGACAGAATATTGTTGAGCACGTGAGAAGTTCGTTGTGAATTATAGCGTTTGTTATAGCGCGATTGTTGAAATTAAGTGTATCGTAAAGTTGTATGCAGAAAGAATAAACCAGTTTTATTTAAGAAAGGACTTGTATAGGTGAAGTTTCTTCGGAAAGAATTTTTACGGAAAATTAACTAACGACTTGAAGCGTTACAATATCAATCATAACAAAATTCTTGTCTACCTAAGATCAGCATCATTCTGAAGCCCAAAACTTCAAAAAGCAAACTGAAAAGTTTAAATTTCATATTTTGAAACCTCTGGGATTATGAAAAGAAAAATAGGGAAATATTAAATTTGGTTCAGTCGCACTAACTCTTTCAACGTTTGCTCTGAAATTCAAAAGAAAATAATTAATTATTTTGTCCATTTCCCAGTCTACAAATTTTGTCCAAAACATATTGTTTAGAGACACATTCTGTAATTATTGAGAGGTGTCAATATTTTTTAAGTAGGTACGGTTTTGGCGATAACATATTATTAATTAATTTATATCTTACGCTTCGTCTGCTAATTTAATACCATTTTATGATTTGTTTGTTTGTTTGTTTGCAATTAAGCACAAAGCTACACTATGGACTATCTGTTCTCTGCCCACCACGGGTATCGAAACCCGGATTCTAGCATTGTAAGTCCACAGACATACCGCTGTGCCACTGGGGGGCCCATCTTATGGAAAGTCATGACTAATAAAAAAGCAATTCCCTGCAAGAGCGACCAGATATGTCCAAAGAATAACAGGAAATTTGACAATATAATTCTGATTTCTTTGTTTATGACTGACTTTGAAAAAAGAAAGAGACTGAATGCAATATGAAACACACGGTGAAAAAATCTCAAAAAACAAAAATGGTGTATACATTGGACAAAGGGAACCTTCCACAATAATATATCCTGTGGTCATTCCCCCAATGGCACAGCGGTATGTCTGCGGACTTACAATGCTAGAAACCGGGTTTTGATACCCATGGTGGGCAGAGCACAGATAGCCCTTGTGTAGCTTTGTGCATTATTAAAAATAAAACAAAACAAACCTGTGGGCATTGCATCAAAATTTTCTTTTTCCTATTTACTCTGTAATGGCCCCTCCCCCAGTGGTGCAGCAGTAAGGCTGAAGACATGTAACACAAAAATACCAGATTTGATTCTCGTGGTGGGTACATTAAAAGGTAGTCCATTTTGTAGCTTTGCGCTTAACAAAAACATCCTGTAGTAATTTTAGGTTAAACCAATTTCCTTCAAGAGCAACTGGATAGGTCTGCAGGAGTTTAAGAAAGGGCAGGTTTAAATGTTATTTTTTCCAAGGATGGGTGTCCAACAGCCTTGTTGAAAGACCAAATGATCCCTTGACGTCAGTTGGTTATGTTATGGAAATGGTGGGTGTATTTGATTTGGATGTTTCTTGTAGAAATAATTTCCATAACTATGAGCTTGCTGAAAATCTAAATACTTTCTTCTGTTTTGTTTTATCTTGAGAAAATTTGGTGAGAGGTAATCTTATTCATCTTTACGAGATTATATAGAGGAGTTGTGCTACAAGACCAGATGAAACCATAGTGGCAAAAGGTTGGCTGAAATAAAAAGTTTTTTATCATTATCTAGAGAGTAAAGGTCATTGTTTTTAAAAACTTTATTGTCAAAGTGTCTAAATCCCTTCAGTACGTACTATATATTATGAGAAAGGACTGCTTTAATTGATCTGAGGTTTTCCAATTAAAACTTGAATCAACTAATTATTTGAATGGTTTCAAGATAGGTATCTAGGACTTGCTGGCTTTTATGCTAATGTTACGTCTCCGTTCGTTAGTTAATTTTCCGTAAATTCGTTCCGACGAAACTTTAGCGACACAAGTCCTTTCTTAAATAAAACTGGTTTATTCTTTCTGAATATAACTTTGCGACACACTTAATTTCAACAGTCACGCTATAACAAACGCTATAATTCTCAAAGAACGTCTCACTTGCTCGACTTCAACAATACTCAGTTCAATTACACACTACCATGTTCCGTCACGTTGTGACCGTCTTATATATACAAGACTAACACATATCTAG